ATCCGCACCGGGGACACGCACCGGGACCGGGCACACGCACCGGGGACAAGCACCGGGGACACGCACCGGGACCGGGCACCGAGGACATGCACGAGGACCGGGGACACGCACTAGGACTGGGCACCCGCACCGGGGACGTGCACCGAGGACTGGGCATCTGCGCCGGGGATATGCACTGGGGACAAACAGGGGACTGGGCACACACACTGGGGACCTGTACTGGGACTGGGTGCCCGCACCGGGGCCAGGCACCCATGCTGGGCACAGGCACTGGGAACATGCACAGGGGACCAGGCATCTTCACTGGGACATGCATGGGGGACTGGGGACATGTAGGGGAGCAGGCATCTGCACCAGGGACCTGTACTGGGACTGGGCACCTGCACTGGGGACAAGCATCCACACCAGGGACACACACGGGGGACTGGGGACATACACTGAGGACGTGTAGGGGACTGGGCATCTGCACCGGGGCTGGGGACCCCCACCAGGGACAAGGGCTGGGGACCCACACCAGGGACACACACTGGGCCCACACACTGGTGCCCTGCACTGGGGACCCACACTGGTGCCCGGCACTGGGGACCCACACCGGGGACCGGCACCCACACCCAGCACCCATATTGGGGTGCTGCTGTGGGTGCCCACCCTGGGATGGGGGGCACCAGTCACAGGTACACCCACACCCAGCACAAGGCCAGGACCCGCACCCACATCAGAGACCAGCACCGGGGACCCCCACGGACACCAGGCACCCAGCACCCACACTGGGAGCCTGCACCCAGCACAGGATGGGGCAGTAGCACCCACAGGTGGCCCAGGCCTGGGACAGGGGTGCACAGGCATGTCAGAGGGGCGAGCGTGTGCGTGCTCACACACACACAGGGGGTGGAATGTCCCCCCCATGGGGGGCTGCCACCCGGGTTCGCCAGCCTGGCTGGGGACACACACGTTGTCCTCCTTAGGGCATGTGGTTCCCACAACCCCGTGGGGAAACTGAGGCATGGGAGGTGGCAGGAGGCCCTGAGCCACGGGGACACCCCCGTGTCTGCCCCGCTCACCCCCATCACCACCCCCTCAGCCCCAGGGGCTCGCAGCTCTGCTTGCTGAGGGCCAGATTTGGGGCCAGATCGGGGACGGAGGGGCTGTCACTCTGACCGCGCTTGCAGAGGGGACAGAACTGGGAAAGGGGGGGTGCGGGGTGTCACTCTGGCTGTGCCCATGGAGAGACAGATCTGAGGACAAATTTGGGGAGAGGGTTTTTTACTCTGGCCGTACCCATGGAGAGGGCAGATTTGGGGACAGAGGCGTTGCCACTGTGACCATGCCCAGGGAGGGACAGATCTGGGGACAGATCTTGGGACAGAGGGAATTTTGAGTGGGGCACCGAGCCCCGGCTGGGTCCCTGCCCCGAGCACCCACTCCCAGGACCGGGCAGGGGCTGAGCGGGGTCGAGCATGGGGACACCCACCCGTCCCCGTCCCCACGGTGGGGGACTCTGCTCCCCGTTGGCCCGTGTGGGCAGGAGCTATCCACTGCCCCATCCAGGCAATGAGCTGCACCCAGGTCTCCTGCCAGGAGCCAGGGTAAATAGGGCGGGGGGCTGATACCCTCTGCAGGGTGAGGGTGCCGGGGGGCTGCTCTGTGAGCCCCATCAGCACCCTTGGGACGCACCAGCAGCCTCTCCCCATTTCAGCATGCCCCACGCCTTGCTGGGAGCCAGGCTGAGCGGGCACAAGCTGTTCAGGGAGCCGACGGGGTCACAGAGGCAGTTCAGGGGGATCCAGAGCTGGGGACATCGGTGGGGACAGGTGGCAGGGCCCTGCAGACACTAATAGGCTGTAATTGCCCTGAGCAGCCCCATCTGGGCCCCCCCAGCCCTCCCCTGCCCCAGGAGCCTCATTTAAGTTCAGCTCTGAGCCCTGGGCCATGGCATGGGGACATGGACCTGGGGCAAGGACACGGCATGGGGACCTGGAGCTGGGACAGGAATATGGCATGGGCACATGGAGCCAGGGCAGGGACCTGGAGCTGGGACACAGTATGGGGACACAGTGCTGGGATGGAGACACAGCACTGGGATGGGGACACAGCATGGGGACCTGGAGCCAGGGCAGGGACATGGCAGGGGGACTGGGAGCTGGGCTGTGGCATGGGGACCTGGGACCGGGACAGAGGGACATGGCACCAGGATCTGAGGATCTCTGGAGGGATTCAAGCCATCAAGCAGGGGGTGGGCATGGGTGAGGGGACCCCAGGGCCGGCTGGGGGTCACTCAGGGGAGCCATGAGGACAAGGTCCTGTGCTGACTGAGGCTGGGTGCCGCATGCTCTGGGCTGGGGACAGCCTGGGACGGCCATCACAGAGCAGCAGGAGTGGGGCTGCCTCACTTTGGGGGATGAGACAGGGGACCCCAGTGCCTGCAGCCCCCCAGAGCCCCAGCCCCCAGGCTGCCAGGGGGGCCTGCTAAAGCCAGGCAGGATCCAGCCCGCCATGCCGGGTGGCCCCGAGCTGCTGTCCCCAGGGTCCCTCTGTGGGGAGGGGGTGCTGGGACCCTGTGATGGGTCGTGGATGTGGGCAGCGTCCCCAGGAATGTGCACACCCCCCCCAAAGTGGCCCCCAGGCCAGGGCTGGGGCGTCTTGCTAAGGACCGTAGGGGTGTTTGGGGGAGTAGGGTTCAGGACTGTGGAGGAGTTTGGGGGGGTCTAGGTCAGGGTTAGGGGTGGGTTGGGGGATCTGGTGTGTGGTCATGGGTGGCTT